GATCTTCCTTATTCACTGTCCAGCTTTCGCATCCATATGAGGCTATTGAAAACACCATGGCCTGGGATAGATAGATAGATAGATAGATAGATAGATAGATAGATAGATAGATAGATAGATCATTGTATCATTTATTGCGCATCTAAATGCTTTCCATTCCCCAAAGATGGATTTATGATCATATATATTATATATATAGATATAGATATATAGATAGATAGATAGATGAGAAAGAGACTGAAGGAGGAATCCAAGACTATGGCCCTCAACCACATTTCAGATCTGGAATGGAACTCACCTTCATGGCATAATTTTCAGTCAAGCAGTAGATAGGTATATAGGGGAACAACAACACTAGTTAGGTATGCTCACCATGGAATGGTCAACCATCCAAGATCAAAAGGGCAACATTTTTCTAAGGACAAGGATGAGAAGGGATTGGAAGGAGGGTGGAATGGAAATTAGAACCACAGGGAGGAAGTGAGACAACTGATATTTCATAGAAGGAATTGTAATCATTGAAATGAAACAAAATGTATGATTTGTTGAAAGTAAAAGCTGATGATCTTCACTCAATTCACAATAAAGTTTCAAAAATAATAAAATCATTAATAGTATGGCTATTAGCATCATTAATTAGGAAACTGAGTCCCATAACTGAAACTTCTAAGGTCACACATCTGATTTTAGGTAGTACAGAAACCCAGACACATCTTTCCACCCCCAATCCAGGGTTATCTCCAATAGACTAAATTGCCCTCCTGACTCAGTGACTAACCCAATTATGCCTGATATCACCAGCCAAACTATGATCCTTTATGTGGCAAGTGAGTTCATATAAGAGCCCAAATGTCTGTTGCTCATTAAAGCAAATGCTGATGGCAGAAAATAAAAAGCTATGAATCATAGTGGATACAGAATTTATCACGTGGCAGGACTAGATTCCTGCACATCAGCCAGAGGCTGGCTTCAGAAGAGTAGATGGAATGTGATGTCCTCCCCAATTACCAATCTCTGCAGCTCTGGAAGGTTCCACAGAATCCAGCCTAGGCTCCACGTGTAAGAAAAGACCTTGTCCACTGACATTGATGGCAAGACCAGAGGGTCTCACCAACATTGAGATCCGATGCACTCCAACTGACAGTGAGCTCATCTGACAGACAACATGTGTTAGGTTTGAGAAAATAACTCCACATCTTGTTTTGTTCACCATAACCTGGAAGGCCTGGGAGTCACCAGAGAAACCAGTTCCAGTAAGATAAACCAGGAGGTTGTTGTCATCATCTTAAAAGAGGGAAAACAAACAAACAAAGTCATCTCTCAATGATAACACTCCATTTAAGAACTAACGTTCATTCCCTCTCACCTTCACCTCCCAATACTCAAGGAGTTGAAAGCTGACTCAAATACTGAACATTTGCATTTACTTGGAATACCCAGCCGCTATCTAAAATACTCTCAAACTAGTAATGAGAGATCACTCACTGCTCAATAAAAAAATCAAAATAAAGAATATTTCAAAACAAGGAACAGAGAGAATATGTTAAACCATCAATAATCTCCAAATCATGACCATATAATCATTTTATTATTACTGTTGTGTACTGTCAAGTCCATTTTGACTCATAGTTACCTCATGTGACAAAGTAGAACTGCCCCACAGGGTTTCCTAGGACAAAATCTTTGTGGGAGCAGCTCACCAGATCTTTTTTCTGAAGGAAACACTGGTAAATTCAAACCAATGCCCTTTTGGTTAGCGATTGAATGCTTAACCTGCCCCCCAAAACACTTTCTCCCATGTCTCTAAACCTTCACCTTATTAACACATACATCCTCTACCTGCCCAGGTACATGGCTGCTAACCAAATTACTTTTGAGTATAAAGTTCACGCCCAAGCCACAGATCATACCAAGAGAATACCACACAGAATGGACCTGGGGAGTTGAGCCTTGGAGATACTGGAATGAACAAGAGCCAGAGCAATGAGCTGGTATATCATTCACTCGCACAACCACCTGAAAAACACAAAATAATTCAAAACAAATTATGCATTCCATATGCACAGAGTTACTTGTGCAGTTTTCCAAAATAAAAATGTGTCAATGATTTACTTAGTCTTGTCTCTTTTCTTCTGTTTTCCCAGTAATAAACCCTATATTATAACAAATGCCAAGTTTTATTAAAATGATGATGGGTATGCTGAAACTTGATACTTCTGCAATTAAATATGCTAAACCTTTAGTAAATTCTCTCTGTGTTTTATATAGAAGTAAATTTAACATGATTGAAACTGTACAAGGACTTCATAACATTCTGTATATTCAACTAAGTATTCATTTCCACTGAAAAGTTCTTCCCTTTCTGGTAAATGCCAATAAAATAGGCACCTTCTTTATACCATCACTACACAGCTATATAAGAAGTTCTGGTAACACAACGGTTAAGTACTCAGCTGCTAACCAAAGATTGATAGTTCAAATCCACCCAGTAGCTCTGGGGGAAAATGGTCAAACAATCTGCTTCTGTAAGATTACAGCCAGGAAAACTCTATGGGGCAGTTCTACTTTGTCACAAGGGGTTGCTATGGGTCAGTCAACAACAGCAAGGGGTATATTTGCTTGTATATCTTTTTAGTCCTAGAATCAAGAGGACACTCTATTCTACGTCTTTCCCTCTCACTGGAACTAATGTTAATTTAGTAGAACTCAATCAATACTCGGATATAAGCAGGTGAAATAGATATCACTTAATTGCCTCTCGACAAATTTTTAAAAATGGATTAAAAGTACACACTCTAAGTATAAATGCTTACTTATAGAAGGGAAGGAGCCCTGGTGGTGCAGTGGTTAAGTCTCAGCTGCTAACCGAAAGGTCAGTGGTTCAAACCCACTCCATTGGAGAAGGCTTGTGTCTGCAAAGACCGCAGCATTGGAAACCCCATGGGGCAGTTCTACTCTGTCTTAGAGAGTTTCTATGATTCTGAATCAATTATAAGGTAATCGTTTTTTTAATTATTTATGGAGAGATCGGAATTTGAATGGCATGGATGATAAAGAACACTTTTATTTATAGTGTTTAATTTGTTCATAATGACCAAATAGACAAAATAAATATATCAAATTATCGACAGTGTCAGTCCTCAGTTTGGGTATGTGGGTGGTGGTTATCTTAGTCTTTGTAGTTTTCGTATTTTAAATTTGTCTCAATTTCAATATAGCCAATTATAGCAGGAGTATGGGCAGAAAGTGAAAATGAGTCAGTTTATTTACTACCCATTTTTACTGAAAGGCACAAATCATGTTTACTTACAAGGTTCTCTATGATTTTGTACCATAACAATAGTAATAACAATTATGACAATCTAATGTTGTATTTACAAAGCACTTACATTCTCAAAACATTTTATACTCTGGGAATAGAAAGAAGACCATGGTCATTGTCCCTGTCTTACTTACATTGACCCTTGGAAGTTAAATCAACTGGGTCTCATTACAAATCTTTGAAGGGCTGAGTTACATCGAAGCCTGCATTTGGAGGGCCTTCTACTCTCACCTGTGTGTGCTGGTTGGCAGTGGCCAACATGTCTCCAAAAATGGGTCCTAGAAAAACGCCACCATCATATAGCACCCGAGTAGTTACAACAGGGCTCACTCCAGTCAGATTTTCATCAGTGATCTGAAAAGGTTACATTTCTGGTGAGTTTCTGGTTACATTTCATGGAACAGAAGTCTAATCTTGATTAAACTAAATGGTAAGGGGTCTTTTCACACTTGGTTTCAGAGAAGCAAACAACAATACAAGTGGAAAAAGTGGGGCAGAGGAATAAAATCTAGACATGTAACAATAAGCAATGTCTAAGGAGCTCTGGTAGCGTAGTGGTTACGAATCGGGCTGCGAACCTTAGGGTCAGCGGTTCGAAACTACCAGCCGCTCCGCGGGAGAAAGATGAGGCTTTCTACTCCCGTAAAGATTTACACCCTCGGAAACCCTGTACAGGGTCGCTATGAGTTGGAACCAACTCCATGATACTTAACAACAACAACAACAATGTAAGTTCTGGTGTGGCACTGTGGGTTAATGTGCTGGACTGCAAGGTCAGTTTGAACCACAAGGTCAGCAGTTCAAGCTCACCAGTCACTCTTGGAAACCCTCTACTGGGTCACTACGAGTCAGAACTGACTCAACGGCACTTAACAATAACAATGTAAGTCCTGATGTGGCACTGTAGAATGAGTACTGGACGGAATGGTCTATTTGAGCCACAAGGTCAGCAGTTCAATTTCACCAGCCGCTTCTTGGAAACCTAGTGCAGGGTCACTATGAGTCAAAACTGACTTAACAGCCTTAACAGCAACAATGAAAGCCCCAGAAGACTACGAGAATGTTTATTTGTCAGTGGGGTTGCCTAAAGAGGCACAACACTCCAATCACTTCTATAGGTTTTGAGAGATTTTGTTTCTCTGTGCTTCTCTGGGTTGTATGTGTTTGCAATCTGAAACATGAAAATAGGAAGTAAGAAAGCAATTGTTATGAAATCAATACAGGGATTCCCATCTTTCCTCTATCGTTGCCCAAGTATAGTGTTTGAAAACCAGATGACTGGCGCGAAATTTCATCTTGGGCTTCATTTTATAATAACCAAATGTGAGAAGATCAGTAGATTATTTTTTAAAACCCTAAATATGCAACCGCAGCTGGTTTTGTCATTATCCAAAGACAGCAAATCTTTTTCCAAACTTCCTTCTGCTATGCCATCTGCCTCCATGGTAATCGAAGTCAATCACATCTGCTTAAATTACACAATAACAGATGTAAAATTATCGTGTGGTGGACACTGACCGACAGCTTCTCCACAGACAGTGAGTTGGGAAAGAAGATAGTACATTTAAATTGCTTCATCAGGAATGCAAGACGCAACAAAATTGTAGAAAACTTCCATAAAGAAAGATCATCGGACCCCTTTTCTTGAATGTTCCAACAAAATTAGCAATTCATAACACTTTCCATTTGTATAATCCTGGTTTTTTCTTTTTTTGACAGAATTGCTCCAGCACATCAAATCCATATCATCAAAATGGATACTGTACATACCTTGATGAAAATGGGCAAATCCCCAACCTTGGTGGACCAGGAGAGCGTCCACACATGTTCATAGCAAGAGCTTACATCTTCATTCACCATCAAGTCAGTGGTATTGAGGTACCTGGATGAGAAGTTGTCAGCACTGTTCTGTAAGAGCTTACGAAGGTGGCCAGCAGCAATGTGCACAGGGACACCTATGAGAAAAAAGTTTAAAAAAAGAAAACAGAAGACCCTAAGTAATTCATCTTGCAGGATCTCATCAAAGATATCAGAGTAAATATCAAAAGCTGCTAGGGTTTTCAAGGAAACCTCAAAGTCAAAATATAGCCTCAAGAGAACCCTCAAATCTAGTCAAGCTACTTTTCTCTATGGCAAATACAAGTCATTACCCACTTTCTGGAGTCCCTGGACCATGCAAAACGTTCATGTGTTTGGCTGCTAACCAAAAGGTTGGAAGGTTCAAGTTCACTCAGACTTTCAGAAGAAAGACCTGGTGATATACTTTCAATACTCAGTGGAGCATAATCTTAGTCTGACACACATATGTCTCCAGGAGTCAGCTGATTCAACAGAACTGTCAGTGAGTCCCCTTTTTACAATATGATGTCTTTAAACAACATCACATAGCAGTCAGAGAGCACAACCACATCAGACAGACCCATCTCAAGACTGTCAACTCAGAGCATAAACTCCAAACACACTGGTAATGCCTGAAAGTTTAAATAGTGGATTTTCCCTGGAAAAATTAAGCCAGTCCCGTGAAAAGAAAAAAAATTGGCCATTTTTCACAGGGAGTGGAGGAGGTACATAACAGCTGACACCCATAAAACCTTAGTCAACCCAGCTGAGGAATGTTGGCATCCAATTGCAGTTTCTCTATTAGAATTTCCTTTAAGCCCAACCACCTGCTTCCCCATTCCACATTCCCACAGAGAAATAACAACACTGTGTTTGAACCCTATTTGTGATTGAACTTTGCTCCGTGCTTTACCAAAAGTTTCCATTTCATTAGCTACTCACAACGGCCCTGTGAGGTGGGTCAGGTGGGCATCCTAACACTGACTTTAAAGAAGAAACACAGCAAGCTTCAGAAGCTTGCCAACTAAGTGAGAGGTTTAGATTAAAAACAAAGTTTCACCTTCTACCTACTCAACAGCCTTGACTTATTCCAAACTGCCCTGAGGGTTAATAAAACACTACAGATCCCCCAAACCCCTCACCTCCCCCCCACCTGCTATCCAAAAGCAGGCATTCCTATGAAACATTTCATAAAGCGAGATGGTGTAAAATGAAGAAGCAATTACTGTTCATTTATATGGGAAAATGTTTTGAGCATGCTCAGATTAGAAAAACTCACCTAGCAAATCATGCCAAATAACACATATACCCTAAAATAGCACTAACATACAGTGTTCACAGACGCAGTTCAGAGCTATAGTGGTTGAGATGCAGAGTGTGTTTCCTGGGGAAGGACCTTGGAGACACTCACTCATCGACGTGTGTTGTCTCTCCAACAACTGGCTCCAAACAAACGCTGAACACCTACTTTAGCTTTCCCCTTTTTTTCCTACAAGTGGAACCCATCTTTGAATTTCCTTCAGTTAGTGCAGAGGTGGGGAATGCCTGGCCTACACAATCATTTGTTCTGGCCCTGCCAAGTCAACCACAGTTCCAGCCATCACATTGTTTTGTTATTAAGTGCTATCAAGTCAGTTCTGACTCATAGTAACTCTGTATAGGGTTTCAAAGAGCAGCTGGTGGGTTTGAACTACCAACCTTGTGGTTCACAGTCCAGTGCTGATCCTACAGCGCCATACCAGGAGTCCAAGGAGTGAGTTAATTAAATGTTTGACTAAATATAGCAGGCTAATTTTCAAGCTGATAATGTATAGCCCTCAAATGATGTTATAAATATCCAAGTCGCCCTTGGCAGAAAAAAGATTCCCCACCTTAGTTAGTACAAACAGGTACTAATACAGAGGTCTTGTATAAAAGCAAAGTGACGTAAAATGAACTTTCAATCAACTGGGGATACTTGCACTACATTGCTGGAAAGGAGCCCTGGTAATGCAGTGATTAAGCACCCGGTTGCTAATAGAAAGGTTGGAGGTTCAAACCCACCAGCTGCTCCATGGGAGAAAGATGTGGCAGTCTTTTTTCATATATATTTTTAGTCTTGGAACGCATATGAAGTAGTTCAACACAAGCCTACTATGAGTCAAAATCAACTTGACAACAGTGGGTTTTTTAGATTTCTAAAATGCAAACAAAATTCCCATTGTGTGAAAAAACATTTTTGACATGAATACATCATTTGACCCATTATTACCATTTCAAAAGATCAGATTAAGGCTGACTTGTTTTGTGAGCAGTGATGTGGGGAACATGGTGGCAGATCAAAGAGCAGTAGCCCTTGTCCAGGATTGGGCATAGAACATGGAACAGCAGTGAACTTCACTCTTGCTTATTCGCCCCTTCATCAGACTCTAACAACCTGTTGTTGTTGTTAGGTGCTCCCAGGTCGGTTCTAACTCATAGCAAACCTATGCACAACAGAACGAAACACTGCCCAGTCTTGGGCCATCCTCACGATTGTTGTTGTATTTCAGTCCATTGTTGCTGCCACTGTGTCAATTCATCTTGTTAAAGAGCTTCCTCTTTTTCACTGACCCTTCACTTTACCAAGTATGATATATTTCTTCAGGAATTGGTTCCTCCTGATAATATGTCCAAAGTACAAAAGGCAAGTCTCTCCATCCCTGCTTCTAACAAGCATTCTGACTGAACTTCTTCCAAGCCAGATTTATTTGTTATTCTGACAGCCCGTGATACTTTTCACATTCTTTACCAGTACCATAATTCAAATGCATCAACTCTTCTACTACAGTCTTCCAACGTTTTTCATTGTCCAACTTTCACATGCGTATAAGGCAATTGAAAATACCATGGTTTGGTCCTCAAACTGATCTCTTTGCTCTTTCACACTTTAAAGAGCTTTTTTGCAGCAGATTTGCCTAATGCATCATTTGATTTTTCAACTGCTGTTTCCACGAACATAGACTGTGGATCCAAGCAAAATGAAGTCTCTGACAACATCAATCTTTCTCCATTTATCATGATGGTCCAGTTGTAAGGATTTTTGTTTTCTTTATATTGAGGTACAATCCATACTGAAAGCTGTAGTTTTGAACTTCACCAGTTAAGTATTTCAAGTCCTCTTCACTTCCAGAAAGCAAGATTGTGTTATATGCATATCACACATTGTTAATGAATCTTCCTCCAATGTTCATATAATCCAGCTTCTTAAATTCTTTGTCCAGGATATGGACTGAATAAGTATGCTTAAAGGATACAACCCTGGCATGACCTTTTGTGATTTTAAGCCATTTAGTATCCCCTTGTTCTGTTTGAACAACTGCCTCTTGGTCTTATACAGGTTTCTCATGAGCACAATGAAGAGTTCTGGAAAATCCATATCTATAGTTTGCTATGATCTACACAGGTGAATGCCTTTTTGTGGGTAACAAAACACAAGTAAGCATCTTTATGGTGACCTCAGCCTTCAGCCAAGATCCATCTGATGTCAGCAATGATATTCCTAGTTCCATGCCCTCTTCCGGATTTGACTTGAATTTCTGGCAGTTCCCTATTTATGCTTTGCTGCAACCATTTTTTAATTATATTCAGCAAAATTTTACTTGGATGTATTATTAATGATATTGTTGGATGATTTTCTCATTCCATTGGATCATCTTTCTTTGGAATGAACACAAATATGGATTTCTTCCAATCTTTTGGCCCTGTAGCTGTCTTCCAAATTTATTGACATAGATGAATGAGCAAATCCAGTGCTAAATCAATTTGTTGAAACATTTGCATTTGTATTCCATCGATTTCTGGAGCCTTGTTTTTTGCCCATGCATTCAGTGCACCTTGAACTTCTTCCTTCAGTACTATCAACTCTTGATTACATGGTAACCCCTTTAAATGTTTGAACATCATCCAATTCTTTTTGGTACAGTGACTCTGTGTACTCCTTCCTCTTCCTTTTGATGATTCCTGTGTCATTCAATATTTTGCCCATAGAATACTTCAATATTACAAGGTCTTTCAACTTGAGAAATGCTGAGCATGTTTTTCCCTTGTGGTTTTCTAACTCCAATTGTTTGCCCATTTCATTGTAATATTTGAATTTGTCTTTTCGAGCTTCCCTTTGAAATCTTCTTCTCGGCTGTTTTACTTCATCATTTCTTCCTGTCTCTCTAGCTTCTCTGTGTTCAAAAGCAAGTTATAACCTACGGGCCCTCAACGTTTCCCAAGTTGTCCCACACAGTAAACCATTCCATTTCTCTTATCCCAAGAGAATTCTTTGCAAGCTCAACATCTTTCTGCTTGGGAGAGCAAAAGACTTCTCTACCATGAGTCCATTTTTACACAGCTACTCTTTTCTCCTGAATCTCCCTTCTGATTGCTCTCTATTTCTATCAAATAAATAATATATCATAATCACTACTTGGAAGGAGCTCTGGTAGCGTAGTGGTTACGAATCGGGCTGCGAACCTTAAGGTCAGCGGTTCGAAACTACCAGCCGCTCCGTGGGAGAAAGATGAGGCTTTCTACTCCCGTAAGGATTTACACCCTCGGAAACCCTGTACAGGGTCGCTATGGGTCGGAACCGACTCGACGGCACTTAACAAACAAAAAACAATCACTACTTGGAGTCCTGGTGTGGTGCTGTGAGTTAATGTGCTGGACTGCAAAGACAGTTTGAACCACAAGGTCGGCAATTCAAGCTCACCAACTGCTCCTTGGGAAACCTTTACAGGGTCACTATGAGTCGGAACCTACTCAACGGCACTTAACAACAACAACAATCACTTCTTGGACTCCTGGTGTGGCACTTTAGGATCAGCACTGGACTGTGAACCACAAGGTCAGCAGTTCAAACCCACCAGTTACTCCTCAGAAACCCTATACAGAGTTGCTATGAGTCAGAAATGACTTAATGGCACTTAACAACAATCACTTCTAATTTTATTTCTTCATAAAATATATATTTTAAAAAATATTTATAGGTTATTCTACTCTAGTGGTATCTAAAAGTTCTTTCTACCTTTGTTATGACCACTAAAGTCCTCATATATGTTATGATCATTGAGTGTACTTCTGAAGAACAGTAGCTACCTCTGAGTTCAACTCAGGGAACTCCCGAGACAGGAGTACTGACCTGGGAATCAAATATCCAAGTTTATATCTGAGCAAGTGTAAATATCAATATACTGGGCTAAATGGTTGTTGTTGTTGTTAAGTGCCATCGAGTCAATTCTGACCCATAGTGATCCTGTATAGGGTTTCCAATGAGCAACTGGTGAGCTTGAACCACCGACCTTGCAGTTCAAATGACTTGCAGTCTGACGCATTAGCCCACAGTGCCACACCAGGACTCCATCAAAATATAGGTTCACCTTCTAATCCCCAGAACCTTGAGTATTACCTTATAAGACAAAAACTAAATATTACTTTACATGGCAAAAACTGTGATTAACAAAGGAACAAATAGTATATGGTTGCACTTATTTGGTGAAATTTATAGGACAGACAAATGTTCAGAGAACAAAGTTTATTAGTGGCTACCAGGGTTAGATGTGAGGGAGAGAAAACGGGGGACTCACTACTTAAGGGACACTGAGCTTCTATTAATAGTGATGGAAAAATTAGGAAATGGTAATGGTTAAACACAAAGAATTCTGGAAAGGTAAACAACTTGTTACACACATATCTATCATGATAACACATACACCCAAACATACGTTTGTATATATTGAAAATTTGATTTCCCTAAGAATCTTGAGAGAAGGAATTTATCCTAGATGTGGGCCCTCGATGTATCGTATACCAGGAAGCTTCAAAAAAATTGTGGGGAACGGAATTAAAAGGTAATGGAAATCTCTGAAGCACCCTCATATATAATTATGAGGGAGAGACAGGGTGAGTTTTGAGACAGAAGAGGGGATAGTAACAAACCACAGAATTAGAGACTGAAGTACTGTGGCTACAAGACAGTGAACATCTGCAGTCACAGGAAGCTGGAAGAGGCAGGGGGCAGATTCTCCCCTAGAACCTTTGCAGGGAGTGTGGCCCTGTAGTCATGTTAATTTTGAACGCTGGCCTTCAGAACTCTGAGAGAATACATTTCTGCTGTTTGAAATCACCGAGTGTGGCCATTTGTCATGACAGCTTAAGGAAACCAAGCACTCTGCTTCCACTGCTGCAACATTTAATGGTTGGCTGGGATGTTGTTTACCTGAAATTTCCCCTAAAAATGTAAATGAAAAGTATTGCACCCTTAAATTCCTCTTACCAGGTATCACTGTATTAAAAAACTGAATCTGAAAGTGTCCTCCTAACGCTGGACTCGTCCTCTGTAGTCTCTGTGTTGTCACCTGGACCAGTTCGGAGCCTTCTTCTGTTCCTTCAGCCTGCAAGGACCTGTGACACATCAAAAGCAAGGCATTAACAACAGCAACCCTCCAGAAGTGCCAGGCCAGACAGATGACAGACAAAGACCAGGTCATCTACCACGGGTCCAGACCATGAGCTCCAGCTCCCAAAACTGACCGTCCCTCTGCTATTACAACAGAGAAGCACACTATTCATCCTAGAATTCTCTGGAGGATCCCACCCTTCACCCTGCACTGACACCGAGAGCTTAGGGACCCAGAGGAAAGGCCGATGGTCTGCCTCCACTGGTCTGATCCTGACACACACAATTGAAAGGTAACGTGGTTTTCTCTAATTCATTCACATAATCAAATAAAAGTCAGTGATCCTCAGATGCCACACCTACCTGCCCAGTGTCCAAGCTGAAATACAGGCCACTCCTTCCAGCAAAGTTCCTATCTAGTCCCTTTGTACAAGCACACTCCCTGCCTGATGCTGCTTTTAATATAACAATTGTGTCAAATAAATTGTGACACATCATGCAGTGAAATACTGTTCAGGCATTAAAAATTGCATTTTAAAAAGATGTTTAATAGAATGGGGAAGTAGTCAATATATGTCTGAAAAGGGCAGTTGACACTTAAAAGGGGGCTTCAAAAAGGTCATGGAAAAATTCTATGATATTTTCATTCCATTTCCCACAAACTTTTTGAAGTTTCCTCATATAGTGTTGCAAGGAACACAGTGGATCTGTAGGATAAACAGAGTTAGTGGTTCAAGCCCACCAGCTACTCTATAAGAGAAAGATGAAACTTTCTATGAGTTTCTATGAGTCAGAACCCGCTTGAAAGTACTTAACATATAATGTACAATGTATGGTCCCACTTCGATCCATAAAAAAGTAAATATATACATGTTTATCTGTATATAAAATAGTTTGGGACCAAAGCTATGGAAATATGAATCTAATGTTTTAATAGAAGTTATCTCCAAAAAGAGGTATTTTGAGAGATTTTCAAATTCTTCTGTGTACTTTTAGAGTTCTGGTGTAGCACTGGAGAATAAGCACTGAACTGAAAGGTCGACTTAAACCTCAAGGTCAGCGGTTCAAACTCACCAGCTGCTCCTTGGAGACTCTATACAGGGTCACTATGAGTTGCAACTGACTCGTGGCACTTAACAACAACAACAACAACGTTTATTTCTCAAATTTTCAGCAATGAACATAGGTATACCATTTCATAACAACGTAACACTGTTGTTGTTAATGATGCTGTTAATTGTTGATTCCAACTCATAGCAACGCAATGGGACAGAGGGTCTCCTAGGTTATGGTCATTACAGAAGCAGATTACTAGACTTTTTCTCCTGAAGAGCCACTGGATGGACTTGAACCACAGACCTTTCGGTTAGCATCCAAGCATTTCAAATAAACTAATATAATCATTGATTATATTTAAATAACTTATGCTTTAAAAAAAGAGAAAGAGAGAGAGAGAGGGAGGGAGGGAGGGAGGGAGGGAGGGAGGGAGGGAAGGAAGGAAGGAAGGAAGGAAGGAAGGAAGGAAGGAAGGAAGGAAGGAAGGAAGGAAGGAAGGAAGGAAATAGGAAAAAATTCCTCAACAGGAAAAAAAGTCAGAAAGGGCAATATGTTTCCTTCCTTTCACCTGCCTCCTTGGGAGCCAATAGCGTGGCTATGTCTGTGGGCATTTCAGGAAAACCGATTAAACATATAGGAAAACTGCAGCTTTTCGAGCAGGCACCAGGCACGTGCAGGCCATGTGCTTGCTTAAACAGCTTCTTCAAGCACTCTCTATAGTCTGGCAGTCACCAAAATCGCAACATTCCTAGCTGAATTATTTGTTACAATTTAAAATATTTGAACAATGCAAATCAATGATCTGCATTGAAATAAAAACAAGTTTGTTTTTGTTTTGTTTTTTTGACAGTAACGTGTCTACAAATGTTTGACTCTTAAGAAGCAACGCTTATGGGGCTCTAGTGCCACCTGGTGGTTAGTTCTTAGAATAGCTACTTTTGCTGCCGTGCAAGTCCGTTCTGACTCTAGGCTTTCAGAGGAGCTGCTGGTGTGTTTGAACTGCTTTGCGGTCCAGTTCTTATCCTATAGCGCCACACCAGTGTTCCTTAGAATATTTCATTTCCCTTCAAAAGATTTGGAAACAATTAACACTTCTGGAAAAGAAGAGAATGAAGACAAGGGGAAGAAAAGAAAACAGTGGCAATGTAAACTTGTTAAAAGCTTAAAAATACAAATATTTTTAAACAATTTTACTGGAAACTAACAACATTCATAATTTAAACCCCATTTGTTCTCAAAGTATGGGCACCAGATTAGCATCATCTGGGACCTCGTTAGAAATGCAAAGTCTCAGGCCTTCCATACCACACCCCAGACTTTGAGGAAGAGACCCAGTTTGTGTTTTAGGAAGCCCTTCTTGTGAGTCTGACATGCCTCCTCAAGTCCGAGGACCACTGCTTTAAGCAACAAGATAAGCAGCTTTTGCTGATACAATTTCCATCTCTGCACCCCTAAAATCAAGTAGCAAGGCCAAAATGATCAGACAGCAAGGCTGATTCCCTACCGTACAGTGATGAGCGGGAGCTCCGTGCCACACCCTGCCGACCAAAACGTTGCATTGTAGACTGGAGGGGATCCCGCCACAGAGACAGAGACCACCAGATTCCCACCTGGACGAGCTGTTCCAGAGTCAACTTGAGAAACTAAAGACCAAAGACCAGTGTTCATTCTCTCAGGATGGGCAACCTGATGTTTGGCAAACCCCACCTGGATATGCTGAACTACTTAAAACATTGCTGTTGTTGGTAAGTGTCTCAAGTCTGTTCCGACTCAGCGATCCTCTCAGCGATCCTGTATACTTTTTCCCAGCAGCGCCTGGTGAGTTTAAACCAAGCCAGCCAAGCAACATGGACCTCCATCCTTTCTTCCTTTCCTTCCCAAGCTCCCCTGCAACACTCAGAATGCATAGCTGAGCTTGTTTTAAAACAAGATAAAGAAATATGAAAGAGGTCATTCGACCGAAGGCTCTCCCCACTTAAGACTCCTTCTGTAAGCAATATAAGACTTCAGACTAGCCAATTAGATGCTGTGACTCAGCTAACTTTCAGTTACTCAGTGCCCAGGTTCCATAAGGTTAAACACTTGGTTCCAACCAATCTGGTATAGCTTGTTTCACTAGCCAGTTGGCTTACTAAAATCACTCTGCTCCTAGCCGTTTACAGTTTGAGTTGATGGAAGCATGTGAATGATTGTGTGTTTGAATAAAATCATTAATATTTTATTAAAACTGATTTTTTTTTTCTTTTAACAGAGACACAGTAGAAGTACTGCAGTGTGAGGGCCATAGGAAGACAGCCTGTGAGGTGAAAAGAGTGTGAGTTTGAGACAGACTTCTGCTCAAATCTTGATTTTTCTACTTCTAATTCTGAAAATCAGTTGCCCCGGAGTTGAGCATGACATGCTATAAGATAAGCACCAGACGGCAAACCTCAAGGTCGGAGGTTCAAACCCACCAGCCGCTTTTCAGAAACCTTACACAGGGTCACTATGAGTCAGAACCAACTTGGTGGCACTTAACAACAACAACAATTCTAAAAAATAGCTACCCTACAGTTGACCCTGACACACCGGATACTGGATATGTGTGTCAGAGTGGAACTGTGCACCATAGGGTTTTCAATGACTGATTTTGAAAACACCAAATAAACAACATAGGATAAACTATGAATAGCTGATGTTGTCTATTAATAATCCTCAAAACAAAGCTGTTATCAACAGGGTAACTAGACACAGTAGAAAATCATCTTTTTCTTATGTTGTCCTCCCCTTTCCTTCTTCCCACATCACACTTCTGGATAATCCCAGATGCTGGATAATTCCAAATACTGGAGAAGTTGGTGGCAAAGAGTTGAGGGCAGTGAGAAAAAGGCTCTAGATCCTTGGCTACAAGGGTTTTGAGGGGCAGGGTTGAATTTTAGGGAAACAAGAGAAAGGAGAATATACCTCTCATCTAGCCCTGAATGTCCTAGCCCCTCAATTCAAGGGTAGGAAATATCGATCCCCTTAGCCTTGTGCAGAGCTCGGGTCACCAAATCCCCCCAGCCAGTTGTTATGGACACCAACAAATTCATCCAGTAACCCCAGACAGACTTAAACCACAAAACAGATGCAGTGATGTGGATGGCCCTTGCCACCCACCGCCAAGCTCCTCTCTCATCATCTCTGAAATTTTTAGGGAAAAGATTATAAAGGTTTCCATTTTATAAATATGTTTCAATCAAAGTGTCAATGATAATCTCATCCTTTCTCTTTGGAGATAGCGAGATGAACAAAAATCAGCAAAGCTGAATCATAAGAGATTTGACGGAAAAGTGAGCAAAAGGTGGAAGCCTGAAGCCCTGAAGGTAAACTGCACTGCTTTCTCTGGACTGTGGGTTTCTCTTTCCCTGAGTGCACATCATACATGGTCAGCCTCAGAAGGACCCCTAGTGAGCACTTCCTTGCAAAGACTTATGAGCAAGCAGGCAAAGGAGGCTTCCTGGAGGAAGTGGCCAGGCTTGTGCTCTGAATGAGTAGGTGAATCAGGATGGGTAGCAAGAAGGACTAAGGCATTCTCTTGAGAACATGGCTACCCTCCAAACTCTCACTGAGTCTGCCTGCGAGTCATAAATCAGACTTTAGCCCATTGCATAATCCAGATTGGGCTGTGTTCCTGCAGGCACTCTATATGACAGATACTAACACAGAGTGAGTGGTGGGGAAATCCTACTGGTCCACTAACATCAATTCTTAGTATTCAGTACTTACTATTGTCAGGAACTGTGATGAGTGCTTTACATTATACATCAGTTTATCTTTGAAGTATTTTGGTGAGACAAGGTCCTTATTCTCCCCATTTTACAGATAAGGAAACCAAGACAAGAAAGTAGGGAAGCTGGGGTAAGAGTATGGGCACTTAGCTTTACCAATCTACAGCAGAAGAGCCAGCAGTAAAAGCAAGCACGGTGGTTAATAAGACGGAAGAGAGGTTACCAGGAGAGTATAGGGACTAAGGTGGCCCTATCCCAACCCCATCTCCTTTGAGGAACAAAGGCAGGCAAAATGTAGACTTACTTCTCCTTCCTCCCCCCCATTAGAAGAACAGCAGTCACGAGCAGGTGAGTTTGAGGAGGAGATCACCTGTTAGGTTTGTGTCTGTGATAATGATTTCATCCACATAGAACGAGCCCATCTCCTGAACCAGAGGAAGGAGCTCTAGCCGATGAATCAGCACTGAGGTGTTTGCCGGAGGGGGCTGCAGATACCCAGAAGGACGCATACAAGTCTCCCAGAGGTCAGTGCAGGAGAACAGCCAGCTGAAAAACAAGTGCCGAGCAGAAGTAGGCCTCTCAGTGTGCACCATCAGTTCTTCCATGTTATAGACCTGTGTCTCAAACCAGGGAGCCTGGGGTCTGTGTGGCCAGGGGAGAGACCCTGCACCAAACAGTCCTGGTTCCACAGGTGCAAACATTCCATCCCATCCAAATCAGCCCCAGCTCTGTTTTGAATATAACACTTTTTTCCACTTGCCATTGAATCATTTCTGACTTGGTGACCCCATGCATGCCAGAATAGAACCGTGCTCCATAGAATCCTCAGTGACTGATACATCAGTAGTAGATTCCAGGCCTGTCTTCAGAAGTGCCTCTGAGTAGACTTGAAGCTTCAATGTTTGGTTAACTATTTGCATCACCCCCGAACTCCTTGATGTAACACTAGTGAATTTCATTTTAAGTCAAACATACATTCATGACAACACTCAATGTCTACAGCATCTTCAAATGATAATTGTATACTTTAAGTAGATCAGAGGTGAAGAATCTAACCACAGAGAAGACTGATATACCTGGACATCGCTAGACTCATTTGGGTTTAACAGCATTTGCCAAGTCCATGTGGTGACATGTGGAAAGAGCAGTGGATCCAGGAGGCAAGATGCCAGGGTTGTACTCCAAGCTCTTTGCTCACTCACTGAATGGACTTTCCAAATCCAAAGTTAAACCCAGTAGATTCCTACTCATAGCAACCCTCATAGGACAGAGTAAAAAAGCACAAGGTTCCCATGGCTGTGATCCTTCTGAAAGAGACTGCCACATCTGTCTGCGATGGAACAACTGGTGGATTTGAACTGCCAACCTTTCAGTTAATAACTGAATGCTTAACTACTGTGCCACCACAGCTCCTGAATCAACTTTGTTGTTGTTGTTGTTAGGTACCACTGAGTCCATGCTGACCCATGATGACCCTCTGCACAACAGAACAAAACACTGTCCAGTCCTGCTCCAATCTCACAAACATAGTTATACTTGAGCTCACTGCTGCTGCTACTGTGCCAATCCATCTAATCGGGGATTTCCGTTTTTGCTGACACTCTACTTTACCAACCATGATGTCCTTCTCCAGGGACAGGTCCTTCCTGATAATATATCCATAGTATCATATTGAAGAGGTCCAAGAGCTGAAAAGAAAATTTCAAAGATCAGCTCGAGAAGATAAAGTCAAATACTATAATAAAATATGCAAAGATTTAGAGTTAGAAAACCAAAAGGGAAGAACACGGTCAGCAATTTCTCAAGCTGGGGGAACTGAAGAAA